GTAGCAACCAAATCCTCCAGGGACTTCTTCTCCAGTCATCTTGGCGAGTTTATCCTTCGACGCTTTGCTCGCCAAGGCAGACTTCTCCTCGAGAGTCGTCACTTTTTCCTGAGTCTTCTTGAGCTCTACTTTTAGGGAGGTACCCTCATCGGTATATGCCACGGCCATTCCTAATACCCTCATAACGGCACCAGCATCTCGGGCTATCATCCCCATCTTGCTCAAGCGATCCATATCTTCAAGCATCAACAATTCAGCTCGAGGAAGATGCAAAGAGGAGCCTTTGAAGAAATCCTTATCATGGAAGCAGGGAGGTAGCTCGAACTTACCCTTTTCATACTCGCCTGCCAGATCGACCGCGCCCTCGATACGCACCCTCTTGAACCTCGAGGACACCGGCTAAGGAGAAGGATGCCTAGCAACAGGGCCAGACGGTGACGTCTCCGAACCCGCTTGGGGGGCTGTCCCCGCGTCACCATGAGGGCCCTTGTCTGACTTATGTCCTTTCTTCTTGACCAGGGCAGCCGACTTGACCATGTACTCCTGAGCAGCATTCATCATTCCTGCAACAAAAAACAAATGAAAGTCAGTAAACGAAGATAAAGAAATATGTGCGTAAGACAGATTAAAATACAAGATAAACTACCCAAGTACGCCACAGTATCCCCAGATTCGAGGAGCTCCTTAACATTTATAAGCCTTGGTTCAAACATGGGCTCCCCATCCTTGTCTATCAAGGGCCTCCCCCCTTTTCCCACACGCTGGACAGGAGGTATCCTCACAACAAAGGGCGACAATCGTTAATGGTTAGCCAGGTCCTCGATACCTAATTACTTCTTCTTCCAAATATAATGATCGGGGACCAATCAAAATGTTTCTTCAACCAATGGAAATGAAACTTCGACACCAACTTCACCACCGGGTTCCCCTCCTCGTTCAGCACAGGGCTCCCCTTCTCGTAAACCAACAGGATGCTCCTAAAGATGTTCAACAGCTCCCTCTATGACACGGCATGGACTAGCATATACCTCTCCTTAAAATTTTGAACGGATTCAAGGTGATCCTTGAACAGCTTCCGGTTACCTTTTTTCAAAGAAATCCATCCCCACTGCTTGCCAAATTTTTCCCGTTGGAGGTGGAAGCAATAAAAGAAAAAAGGAACAGTGACCCCTATCTACAGATAACCACACACTATTTCAAAAACCCACTAGAAGGCAATTAAATTAGGATGAAGCTGAGAAGGAGCAAGACGAAGATGCCAAAAAAGGGCCACATGAAGATCACAGAAAGGGAGACAAAGACCCAACTCCCGGAAGAAGATCTCATACATAGGAATATGGTTTGCATCAAACTTCGAACATATTCAGTGGTCTTTCCCGAGGGTGTAGATTTCTATTCTTCCTCTGCATCCTCTGACTCCATCCCCGGAGCCACCAGCGTAAACACCTCATCTGGGTGCTCAGCAAAATGAGAAACGATCTCCATGGGATTCGATGAAACTCAAGCTAAAGGATCCTCAGCCACGGGCTCACCCTGCGCGTCTGCGCCCTGCTCGGGCACGCCCGACCCAAGATCACGTGCCCTTGAGGTACTCTCCGCGGTTGAGGTGCCCCTAGATGAACTCGTTACAGAATTAGTATGCTCGCTCATAATATTGTCTTCAGTACGGATGGCCATCGTACCTGAAAATCAGAGGACAAAAGTAAATTCGACATCGAATCAAATCCATCCTTCCACCTCTAATCAAGTGAAAGGGCGTGAACGAGGACCATGTCCCCGACCAGAGCCCTCACTCAAAACAGCAGAAAGCAAAACGAGGGCACTCCCTCTAACACATTGGGCGCCCGACCGCCAAGATAAACCCTAGCTCTCGCGAGGGTAAACCCATACAAATGGTTTACGACCTCTCCTAGAGACACATCAAAAATGCATAGGGTTTAAAGCAAAAGGCCCAAGAAACGATCCAATGTCTCCGAAAAATTATTCACAAACGCCGCTACCAGGTCTACCACCAGGGAACACCAGACAGCCCCACGACGGAGCCTACATTCCCAGGCGACAGAACCACCGAGAATATTCCTATCTAAAGCTAATTTACCCCTAGCCACATGAATCTCTATAATCGAAATCAAAATCTAACCTAAAAACAAGGAACATTTTGCAAAAACAGAAGAAAAATAGTAAACTTACCAGGTTAGAGAAGACTAGCGGCGGAACAAGAAGAGACTACAGCGGTGGACGGTAGAAAGGACAAAAGCTTCGACAGAGAACGACGGCGTCGAGCAAGAACCATAAAAACGAGCAGAGAAAGAGCAAGTGAAAAGTACAAATGAATATTTTTTTTCTCCCTTTTATAGACAAACTTCGTTAGCGCGTGAGCGGGCACGCACCTAGAGGAACCTAAGGGTCGTCATCATTACACCTTAGTCCCTAGATCTTCCATCATTACACCTTTATGACAGCACGTGGCTCGAGACACTCATGACACACCTCCTCTCAAAGTCCAATCACCTATTAGGCTTCACGTGCGCCGAACATAAAAGGACCACGTTCGAGCTCCTCGATATGGTTGCCTCGAGCACATCCTGAAGCGTCCTCAACTCCTCGCGGACTGACTCTAAGTCATCACTCATACGCCTAGGAGCAATGACTTGGGGGGCTCTTGCTCTGGATTGGTCCAATAACTAGAATTGGCCCAATCCGCTTCTACCATTGACATGGCCCAACAACGCTATCCCAACATCTCTGGTCGATCGCACCCTCGAGCGGCACGACTAACAATACCTGAAACTCACACTTGCCCATGCGAGCAGTCACTTCTCAGTCATCTTGATGCACGAAGAGCAAACACTCAGAAAATGAACATAAATGTCTTTGTGCATCATCTCACTCTTGTTCGACGCAACGGCTAGTTACGGACACAACTGCCTATTTTGACCAAGTCCTGGCAGTTACCTATTTTTGCAGACCCACATATCTAAGCCCAAAAATAGGAATCAATGGTCAAGCGTCGGGAGCATTATATAAACCCTCACACGTGTGAGGGTCAATTATCCAATATTCAAACCTAAAATCTTAATATCTTTCTTGTATCTCTTTGCATCCATTCTTACTTGATCGTCGGAGTGCCTTGCAGGTACAACCCCTCGTCGGAGTGCGAGCAGTCACTTCTCAGTCATCTTGATGGACGAAGAGCAAACACTCAGAAAATGAACATAAATGTCTTTGTGCATCATCTCACTCTTGTTCGACGCAACGGCTAGTTACGGACACAACTGCCTATTTTGACCAAGTCCTGGCAGTTACCTATTTTTGCAGACCCACATATCTAAGCCCAAAAATAGGAATCAATGATCAAGTGTCGGGAGCATTATATAAACCCTCACACATGTGAGGGTCAATTATCCAATATTCAAACCTAAAATCTTAATATCTTTCTTGTATCTCTTTGCATCCATTCTTACTTGATCGTCGGAGTGCCTTGCAGGTACAACCCCTCTTCTCCTCAACTTTTCAGTCAAGCAGACGACATCCTTCAACTCACTTTTAGGCTCTAATCAACCGGTAAGATCAGGGTTTGAGAAAGTTTGGTTCTTAGGTTTTGACTGTATTTTTGTTCAAAAGGTTTCTGAAATGAGGAAGGAGAATAGACAGCGCGCGTTTATGTGCTAACACGAACCAAAAATACAACTATGAGACCTCCTGTAAATGCATTTGCAATTAATTTCCTAATGTCAACTTGTGTTTCTGTTTTTGCTGCATTTCGTAAAGGTATCTCCAAAAAATTGTGTTTTATCACATCCTAGATGCATCTTAGAGATGTATCTCCAGAATCTAAAAACATTTAAGAAAATTCGCGTAGTGCACTAGAAAAACATATGGTGTTAAAAAATTTCCATAAAATATGACTTAAAAATACTATATATATATATATATATATATATATATATATATATATATATATATATTAGAGTCAGTCACAACTTCGAAAATATATATGCAAAAATTATTTGAAGAATGAGTATGACTAAAATAAATAAAGAAACAAAAGCATCAAATTCTAGTTTTATATTAAAATCAACTTTATACAAAATTAATTATACCTTTTTTATTGACAAAATTAATTATACTTAAAAATATTCAAACATATCAAAATTAATTATACATCTCTTGATTCAATTTTGCTTTCTCCAAAAATAAAACCAACTATTCACTTCAAACAGCATCAACGATGGTGCTGACAGATGTAAGGCGGCCAAGGGTTTTATTTTATGTCACAATAATGGTGAAGTGACACTGACATATTACAGCAACAATACTTGAAGGAGTTGAAATCATCTATTTCTCAAAAGAAGTATTAATTTCTCAAATATTGAAAGTTTCATAAAAAAAGATGGACACAAGAAAGGTAGTGTCAAGGGGAATAATGGTGGTTACTGCTAATGGTGGCAGAGAGAAACCATAAAAGGTTTTAGGTGGAAAAAATAGCTGATGGCAACAAAAGAGGGTATGTGATATTGATAGATAATAAACATACATGTGAAATAAACAAAATTCATTATAAAAATTAATATAAATCAACAATTTAAACAATCCAGATGTGTATGTCTACCATTTTATTAAAGGTGTATACCACAACGAATGTCAACCACAAAAAAGTCTTATTCTATAACCAAAAAGAATGTAAACATGATCATTAAATATAAGCTTTTATATAGAGACTTGCACTTCATGCAGATCCCTTCTGGAATACTGGCGACGCAGTTCCATATAACTTTGGTGTCAACAAAAATTATGAAACATTGAAATTTCAAACTTCAACAGAAACGGATCACAAGAACATAATACTCAGCTTGCTCACGAGTTTCTTTCAGCTCCATGCCGCAGAAAAAGAGATGTAGAATGAATTTAAATCCAATAATAGTACAACAAGGGTATATAAATTTAAATCCAAGGAGGTTCCACAACACTGTGAGGGCAATTTGCACCTTATAAAGAAGTCATTTCTGTGTTATCTTCTTATTTCTTTTATTTTTAAGAGGGGAGAAATGAATGGAGTTTATATTAGCTACTGGGATCTCAGGATTTGAATTATGCTTCACGTGTTGTTCGAGAATATTACTGCAATCATTGACGATTTTTCCATCTATAAGACCCAATTTATATAATTTGATCCTGAACATTGTCCAATACCTGCCAAAAATAATTGCAGATATTTATATATCCAAAAATACAAGAGTGTAATAATGTGTGGCATTTTGACCAGGTGAAGCCATAAAAAGTGCTACAGTAGCATAAAATATTGAATTTTGACAAATAAACCATCTTCATAAAATTGCTTTTGAAGATTGTACGTGTTGACATATGATTATGTTCCAATACTAACAAATAAAAAAAGTCATTACAGAATAAGGAAACAAGTTAGGTATAAATTTCTAAAAGGGGCAGTATAACACGAGAGATGGTAGTTACCAAGTTAATTCGCGGGATTTAACAATCTCAGAGCCATGCAATACTGAGAAAGCCTTGCATGCCCAACGAATGTGAGAATCTACCCGCACACTGCCACAAGAAGAAAATAATTAAAAATAGAAAGTAAAATTCAGAAAGGACAAGCATATCAACCACATTTCTAAAGCTAAGAAGCATTCAGTATAAAATACATGTACTGTTACTTGTTAATGACAGCAGAAACAAAAATGAAACATGCAACAAGAAGTGAATGTCTTTTGAGCCAAAATGAAAAAGAACTTACCGTTGCTTCCGAATAAATGAGTTCCACATCAACATGAATTGCTTCTCTTCTTTGCTCAAAGGGTGAAGATCAAGCTTCTGCAAAGTATTAAAAGTGTATCAATGTTCTTCAAGAAATAAGCATGAATAATTGTAAAAAGTATGTGATAGAACTGGAACTAGAGACTTATCAAGAAACAATCAATATGTGTATGTATGAAACTTTATTGATTTTACTAAAAACACTTCACAGATTTTCGAGGAATTTGTAACCTCCCAAATACAATTCTCAAAGGTGTATCAATGTTCTTCAAGAAATACGCATGAATAAATGTATAATGTATTTGATAAAACGGGAACTAGGGACTTATCAAGAAACAATCAATATGTGCATGTATGAAACTTAATTTATTTTACTAAAAACACTTTACAGATTTTCAAGGAATCTGAAACCTCCCAAATACAATTCTCATTCATATCTTTATCTACAATATATTATCTTACTTATAGACTAATTTCACATTAACAGTATGACAGCTTCAGCAAGAGCCTGCAGGGAGTTGTTTGGGTGCATAAAAGAACACCATGAGCCTTCTTTCTCTATACACTCTCTTAATTCATTACTAGCTAGTATCTGTATGGCACATTGTAAGTTTTCACTTCAGTGTCTTATGCTTGTCTAAAAATATAAGATCTTGTGCAAGTTTAAATGGTTTCTACATGACCTGCGGTTGTAGTTTGATATATTGAGTATTCTCTTTTGTATGATTTGGAATTCACCACGGGTTTCTATCATGTGATTAGTTTAGTTGGTAGTTGAGGTAATTTGGTAATTTAAAAAATAACTGAAGCCGAGACTGTTTTCATTGTTATTCTGACATGGTTCATTCTTGAAAGCAACACAATGAGTGATGATGAAGAAAGTTTGAGTGGCCGGGGAATAACCAGTCCGGACTGGTGGCGATGTTGAGAGAGCTGATGATGATAGATTCCTAAAAGTAGAAGCTATGGTGTAATCATGGGAACTGTGAGATGGATTACAATTGACCAACAGAGATGTGATCTCATCAGTGGTAGGTCTGGTCATGGCAGTTTACAAGGAAAACCAAATTGAACCTAACTGAACTCAAAGATCAGTCTACTGAACTTGAACGGACAAATTTAAATTTTCCTTACGAGTGTTGTTTCTATATTACTTCCTCCCTGCGGGTTTTCGCTCACCACTTCACCATATCATGACATTTGAAACCATGAATAAATAATGCAAAAGAAATATAAAAAGTCCAGTTCGTTATGGGTGGTTTGGGATTTAGAAGGGGAGGGGAAGGTTTTGGGTAAAAGAAGGAAAGGAACATGGAAGAAAAGATAGTCTCCAACTTGCACATTGGGGAGTTTATTCTTCTTCATAATACAAAATTCCCCAAAATCGGATAACTAAAGATAAATTTTTCGAGTTGAATCTATATTATTAAAATACTCTCAAAATTAAAAGTATATTAATGATAAACATTTACTTATCATTCTCTACAAAAATACTCTCTCAAATAAGGTGTAATATTTTTTCTATTTTCCTCTTTTCCCCTTCCTCAAAGTCATCCCCAACCCTCCAAACTCCCAATTATAACCTTAAGGAATTGTTTTGCTTGAAACTGTTCAGAGTCAAAAAAAAGTTTAGAGAACTAGTTGTTTTGTTTCTCTTCGGTTTTCTTTTTCTATCCCTCCTTAATCTCTCTGTATCTCAACAATTTATAGTAAGACGTGGTTAAAAAATCCCAATTGTTGAGCCTCACTGTTAACCATAAAAGTTCAATAAGGAAAACAAATATAAAGCTCTGCAAGAGTTTTGTTGTTTAATAATAAAAGATACAGTTACAGAAATAAGATCACATAGATTTGTACATACCACCCGCTCTTCAATATCTGCAACTTCATCATCAACATCATCCTCACTATCATAATTTGATAGAACTTCTTCAAGTGACATTGCCTTTAAGAAAAAGGTAGAGAAAAATGAGCAGAGGATATCAGAAATATGATTATAGCAAAGATATTTGAAATTCTCAACACATGAAACAAGACTTTTATTTTTAAAAATAAAGAAATCAATATTCGGCATAAAAGAATGTTCCACGGTGGAATCACAACAACAACCACCGAGTATCATCTCACTAGGTGGGGTTGCCTCCATCAATCAGAAGGCCCCAAAATACTCTATTATATACTATTTCTTGTACTGAAAGTTTTAAACTATGTGTGCGTTGCCCTTTTTCCAAACTTAATTCCATATATTTTGTCTACTTTCTACTCAATCAAAAGCCATATGCTTTTAAAGTTTGTTTCTTAGTCTCTAACCTTCAGTTTATTTCCTCTCCCATCTCTCCAAAAAGGGAAATATCATCCGCAAAAAGCATGCATCAAGGTGTTGGCTCTTGAATGTGTTCACTAAGTATATCCAAGACTGTGTTAAAAAGATAGGGGTTTAAAGTTGACCTTTGGTGTCGTCCTATAGTCATTGAAAAATCCTACGGCACCACCATGCGTTCTCACACTAGTCGTGGGCAGCTCACTCATACATATTCTTGATAACCTAAATATAGACAATTTCAACCTCTTTCTTTTCTAGAGTTTTACATAAAACCTCTCTTGGCACCCTTTCAAACGACTTCTCTAAGTCAATAAAGACCATAAGTCTTTTTTTATCCCTCTTGTATTGCTCTACCACTCGTTTTTTTTCTATTGTAGCTTATGAACTTATTTTAATAGTATTAAAAGCCCAGTGTTTGAAAAAAAGTAGTTTTTTTTAGATTTTTTAATATAAGTTTCTTACCTTTTTTTTAATATCAACTCAATTGAACCAAACAAAACCAATGTATTTTCCATCGGTTTGTTTTGGTTTGGTTCGGATTTCATGAAAAGATAGTGTAAAAACCAAAGCAAATCAAACCAATTATTTGTTATTGGTCCCGGATTCATTTTCTCTCAAATACACCCCTTATCCATATTTATATGCACCAAACTTGTTAGACACATAATTGATTGAAGCACCTACACCATTGACTTAAATACGAATTCTTTAATGAAATGGATAACAATCTCAATGAGCTTGGTCCGCTTATGGAATATTATATCTAATGCGATATGAAAGGCAGCTTCATTTTTAAAGAGAATATCCATTAACATGCAAAGAAAACAAAGGTGCAGGAAAACAAATGGCGGTGACTCATCACCTGAGCTTTGTGAGAATGATAAAACTGCCGCTTCGTCAACCGGGCTATGCTGAAATGGTTTGGAAAGAATTAAGTCAAATTTGTGTCCATGAAGTTGTTGTACTTTTATAGCAAGAGTTGTAAATTTTTAATCACAAGTAGAATAGTATAAGTGACAGTTTATTGCAACACAGCCTATAAACAATAATCATACTAATCTAGGTATCACATGAGAAAAAAATTATACCAGTATGAATATATGAATATTTGTTTCTTTATTTAATTAGGATTAAGACTTAAGAGCCTATAATCAGTATAAATAATGATTAGTGTTTTTCATTTGTAATAACATCACGCATATCATTCAATCAAATATCTATATAACTTAAATACTCTGAGAATTAATTTTCCTCCCGCTACATATAAAAGACTAAATCCTATAAATGTCAAATATTTGTTACTTGTAACGACATCAACCACATTTGACCTAGAAATATAGCATTACTGGATTTATTAATAGAATGAAAAAAGAGTAAAGCCCATCCGTGCATTGTTAAACAGACCTTCTAACTGACATATACTTGTGTTTAAAAGTTAACAATACCGAAATCAACACCCTGTTAGCCACATGAAATAAGTTCCCAAATGTACATTTTGACAATCTACTATATTCAAGGGCTTTGTAAACTATTGTCATTCCAAGATTATGATAGGGCTGCTCAAACTGAAGATATATTTATTTGAAAATCAAGGAATCATTGATCAATCAGGTGAACAGTTTTATACTATAATAATATGCCAGTGATTTATTACACCAAACAAAGTATTGTGAGATGGAACTAATTTTGTTTGAGTCTATATTTCATTTCAGCAACATTTTAGGATTGTAATTACCATTCTAATCATGCATCTAATAATTTACAAGAATCTAAGAAGCTGTTTTTGCTTTCAAAGGATAGAAAAAAGATCAAGGACTTACTTTTGTGGGTCAAAATGTTCAACTGGTAACTTCCTTGTATTGCCAATCTGTAGCCCTGCAGGAGTCCCATGATCATGCTTAGATATTAGTGGGACGCGGTTTGGATTGGGATTGGACACAATACTTGCATTTTCATCCCCTGCAATATCATAGCAATATGTGACACATTCCTTACACTGCACCAATAATGCTCAAACTCTACAACTATCCCATCTGACATATGATCAAAACACATATTAACGATTAGGTCTTAAGAGAAAAAGGAATTAACAAACTTTTATGAAGGGGAAATATATTCCAGCTTTGAGTTGGTATCAGCATAGACATATCATGATTAATTGCAGAAGAGAGTGCTGGATATTCAAGAATCAACAAACAGAGGAAAACCATTCAAAGCCATTATTTTGTTTTGGAAAATATTAAATAGCCTTATTTTTCTTCCATATGTAGTGGACACTGTTATTAACTTTTAGATGAAGAAGAGGTCACCAAAATGTGACATATCCAACAACTGCACTGAATTCTGTTGAATTTCGCTGGCTATATAGCACTTTCCATAAAGCTTTTAAGCACATAAACTCAACAAGTACCTGATATAGTTGCAGAACTTCCATCAATCTTCTTTAAAAACTCATTATCTCCTAAAGGAGTTTCAGACTCTGAGAATAGTGGGTCTGCATCCATAGCTAAGACTGGTGGGTCTGCATTCCTAGCTAGGAGAGGCGGGTCTGCATCCACAGCTAGGACAGGCTGGTCCGCATCCACGGCTAGGACAGGCTGGTCCGCATCAACGGCTAAGACAGGTGGGTCCGCAACCACGGCTACGACCGGCGGGTCTGCATCCACGGCTAAGACAGGCGGGTCCGCAACCACGGCTACGACCGGCGGGTCTGCATCAACGGCTAAGACCGGTGGATCTGCACCCACGGCTAAGACCGGTGGGTCCGCATCCATTGCTAATACCGGCGGGTCCGCACCCGTAGCTAAGACCGGTGGGTCTGTAACCGTAGCTAAGACCGGCTCGTCCGCAACTGTAGCTAAGACCGGCGAGTCCGCATCCATAGCTAATACTGGCGGGTCCTCATCTGTAGCTAATACCGGCGGGTCTGCATCCGTAGCTAAGATCGTCGGGTCCGCATCCGTAGCTAGGATTGGTGAGTCTGCATCCGTAGCTAAGATCGGCGAGTCCACATCCATAGCTAAAACCGGTGAGTCCACATCAATAGCTAAGACCGGAGGGTCTTCGTCCATTGCTAAGACCGGCGGGTCTTCGTCCATTGCTAGGGCCGGCGGGTCTGCTTCCAAAGCTAAGGCCGGTGGGTCTGCATTATTAGCTAAGGCCGGTGGGTCTGCATTATTAGCTAAGGTCGGTGAGTCTACATCCTGGACCACTTCAAAACATGCATTTTCTGGACTTATGTGTGTCATTCGCTTGCCACTGCATATAAACATTATCAATTGACCATTTTACTTCATCAACAGTTATATTGAAATTTATGAGAACCAAAAAATTTCAGAATGGTGTAGGAAATAAATAGCTTACTGAAGGAAAAAAGTTTGCAATTTTGGATCAACACCATCTCCAACAAGCTGTAGGGAAATCAATTAATAATCTTCTGGAGAAAACACAAATATCCAAATGCATTCATGCAAAAACTTTATAGTTTTGTCAAGCTTTTTGATGTTTCTAGGAAGATGCACAGTGCAAGATTAATACAGTGCAAATGAAATCCACCATCCTACATGATTAAGCTACTATGTACCAAAGCAACAGTGTTGTAGCTATTGGACATCATCTCTTATACAGACTACAGAACAACACCAATTTCAAGTTCAGTGGAGTAGAGACCTGAAACATCAAACTGCTAACAAAGAACCCAACTCAAGAATGACTTCTACAATGCACATTCCCAGACCAGGACATGCTTACACTAAAACTACCTTTCAATGTTTTTGTTGTTTTAATCCCTATTTAAACTTTATTTTAAGGACTATATGAATAGAATTTTAAGTAAAGACTGCTAGCAAAGTTCCTTCATATTTTAATTGATCAAAAACATTTACAAACCAAAGAAATCTTATAAGAAATGGATTGAAATAGGAATATTAAAAGAGGAAGTTGAGAAATAACAAAGGTAACAAATAAAAAGATTAAAAACAAATATGTCTGAAACAACAATGCTCTCTCCAATTATTACTTCACATTTCAGCTCAGGAAACCCCTATAATTGAAGATTAGCACATATCAAATCATAATCATTTGATTCTGATTTGTCAAGCTGTTACAAAACAGTGGTGTAAATAGATTTATTATCTATTATTCTGATTTCCTTATTTAGGTAGCAGCAATTATAGGAAATTATTTCTCTGTTTATTAACAAATTAGTGTACTGTATTCTATATATACCTCACAATGTAACAGTTCCAATATAAAATGAAATATACAACGTATTTCTATATGGTATCAGAGCATAAGATCTGAATCATCCCTAAACCTTGAGCACCACCCATGGCAGATACTAAAGCAGAAAATTCAGCCAACAGTTTGGCCGAAGGACATGCTCTTCCTATCACTGGTCACAAACTGAATGGCCAGAATTACAATCAGTGGGTGCGCTCAGTCAAAATCTACCTTTAAGGAAAAGGGAAGGAAGGTTATATCACAGGAGACTCCAAGTGTCCAAAAAGGGGGGATTCCAACCTTGAAAATGGCAACTAGAAAACAGTCTAGTAATGTCATGGCTGCTAAACACCATGACAAATGAAATTGGAGAAAATTTCTTGTACTATGATACTGCCAAAGAGATGTGGGATGCCGTAAAGGAAACCTACTCTAATGTCGACAATACATCTGCAATATTTGAAATCAAGAGCATACTCCATGACTTGCGTCAAGAAGACCGCTCAGTCACAGAGTATTTTAATACTCTCAATCGTCACTGGCAGCAACTGGATGTATATGATGAAGCTGAATGGAGCTGCACAGAGGATAAAAAGAAGTACAAAGAATTGGTGGAGAAAGATAGAATCTACAAATTTCTCTTAGGTTTGAACACAAAACTTGATGAAGTTCGTGGGAGAATCCTTGGAACCAAACCTCTTCCAAAAATTCGAGAAGCATTCTCGGAAATACGAAGAGAGGAAAGCAGGAGAAAAGTGATGCTTGGAAAATCCAGTGCAGCCCCATCTATAGAAGGATCTGCAATGGCAGCAAGGGGAGATCATCGATCTTTCCAAAAGAAAACACGGCCATGGTGTGACCACTGCAAGAAACCGGGTCATACCAAAGACACATGTTGGATCATTCATGGAAAGCCATCAGAGCTAAAATGGAGCAAAAACCGGGACAGCAGAGGGAATACAGCTGAGGTAAATTCTCACTCATCACCATTCAACAAGGAGCAAATGGAAGCCTTACAAAAATTGCTTCAACAAACAATTGGTACAGCTACTGTGGCACAAAAAGGTAATTTTTTGCATGCTCTAAACACTAGCAGGGGAAAACAAAAATCATGGATTATTGACTCAGGAGCATCTGATCACATGACTGGAGATTTAACTGTCTTTGATAGCTATTCTCCATGTCAAAATAATTCGACTGTTCGAATTGCTGATAGTACCCTTTCTAAGGTCATGGGTAAAGGTTCAGTCATTATTTCGCAAAATATTACTCTTAGTTCAGTACTGTATGTGCCTAAACTTGATTGTAACTTGCTGTCCATAAGTAAACTTACAAAGGATTTGAAGTGTATCACTAAATTCTTTCCTAACCTGTGTGAATTTCAGATTTTGGAGTCGGGGAGGACGATTGGCAATGCTAAAGAATGTGCTGGACTCTATATCCTTCAGGCTGAAGCATCTAAACCAGAATTCGAGGCAACCTCTTGCGCTGTAGTTTCTGCATGTAGTGAAAACTCTGCAATGCTGTGGCACTATAGACTAGGCCACCCAAATTTTATGTACTTGGAAAAAATGCTTCCTAAACTATTCAATAAAAATCAGAAGTTGTTTCAATGTGAAATTTGTCAATTGTCCAAACATACACGCAGCCCCCACCCACCTCAACCCTATAAACCTTCTCAACCTTTTTATGTTATTCATAGTGATGTATGGGGACCATCGCGGGTCAGAAATGTAACTGGAGCAAGATGGTTTGTCACATTTATTGATGACCACACACGGATCACTTGGGTCTACCTTATGAAAGATAAATCGGAAGTTGGTAGGATATTTGAATGTTTCCATACCATGGTGCAAACACAATTTCAAAGCAAAATTAGAGTGCTTAGGAGTGATAATGGTCGTGAGTATTATAATTCTGCACTAAGCTCATACTTTACGCAACATGGAATAATACACCAAACCTCATGTGTGGATACACCTCAGCAGAACGGGGTTGCCGAGAGAAAGAATAGACACCTCCTAGAAGTAACCCGATCTCTCATGCTAGCTACAAATGTACCTAACCAGTTTTGGGGAGAAGCTGTCCTCTCTGCAACCTATCTAATAAACAGAATGCCTTCCCGAATCCTTAACTTTCATACGCCTTACTCCACTCTCCAAACCTTATACCCAACCAATCGTATTCTTACATCTATTCCTTTGAAAATATTTTGATGCACAACCTTTATCCATAATCTTGATCCCCAACGCAGTAAACTTGACCCGAAATCCATTAAATGCATATTCCTCGGCTACTCTCCTCACCAAAAGGGATACAAATGTTATTTACCTCAAAACAAAAAATTCTACCACACCATGGATGTAACCTTTTTTGAGAATCAGCCATATTATCCTAAAGTTGGCATTCAGGGGGAGAACACATATCCAATTGAAGTGGTAGAATCCCAACTTTTGGAACTTGAGCTAACTGAACCCAAACTCACTGCAGAGGCATCAAAACCTACACCTGAACCAAATGAAAATGCAACAGAAACTGCAGAACTTACATGTGGACCAGAAGAAACTACGTTAGAAAATACAGAGGAAATTGCAGTAGAAACTGCAGCCCCTACAACAGAAACTGCACCAGGAAACAACATGAAAGTGTACTCCAGGAAGAACAAGAAGGGAATAGAGTCCTGCACAACTCCAAGGCAGAACCAAGAAACCTCCAAGACTCCAGAAAATGGCGTTCCCTCAGGTAATACTGCTCCTAACTCTGAATGTTGATATTGATATTCCTATTGCGTTGAGAAAAAATGTAAGATCCTGTACCAAACATCCCATTGAAAGATTTGTATCTTATGGAAAATTGTCCCAAAGTTACAAGACTTTTGTAACAGCTCTTGACAATACACATATTCCAAGCAACAGCCATGAGGCACTCCAAAATTCTGAATGGGCAGCAGCTGTAACGGAAGAGGTTCAGGCCTTAATTAAGAATGGCACTTGGGAAATCACAAGCCTACCTGCAGGGAAGAAGCCGGTAGGATGCAAATGGATATTCTCCATGAAGTATAATGCAGATGGGAGTGTAAATCGGTACAAAGCTCGACTTGTAGCAAAGGGATTTACTCAATCATATGGAGTAGATTATGAAAAGACTTTTGCACCGGTGGCAAAACTAAACTCCGTTAGAGTTATTCTCTCTTTGGCTGCAAATTTAGATTGGCCACTCCATCAACTAGACATCAAGAATGCCTTCTTAAATGGTGACCTAGAAGAGGAAGTTTATATGCAGATTCCTTCTGGACTCGAATCATCCAGCACCGCAAATATGGTGTGCAGGCTCCGAAAATCCCTTTATGGCCTCAAGCAGTCCCCAAGGGCGTGGTTTGATAGATTGACTCGAGTTGTCAAGAAAGACGGGTTCAACCAATGCCAATCAGATCACACTATGTTTGTTAAACACTCCATGGAAGGAAAGGTAGCTTTGTTTATTGTTTATGTGGATGATATCGTTATTACAGGAAATGATTATGATCAAATTGATCATTTAAAGGGACTCTTGACAAAGGAATTTGAAGTTAAGGACTTGGGACAACTTAAGTATTTTTTAGGGATGGAAGTTGCTCGAACAAAGGATGGTATCTCTGTATCACAAAGGAAATACACCCTTGACTTACTTCAAGAAACTGGAATGCTGGGTGCAAGGCAGCTAATACACCAATAGAACAAATAAAAGGAAGAGAAGATGAAAGTCCACCAGCCGACAAAGATAGATATCAAAGTCTAGTTGGGAAACTAATCTACCTATCTCACACTAGGCCTGACATTGGGTTCACTGTAAGCTTGGCTAGTCGCTACATGTCAAATCCAACCGAGTTTAACATGAAAATGGCGAATAGAATCCTCCAATACCTCAAAGGCACACCAGGTCGAGGCCTCCACTTCAAGAGAAATTCAAACAGGGACATTGAAGTTTATATAGATTCAGATTGGGCAGGATGCTCCACAGACAGAAAATCGACTACAGGTTATTGTTCATTTGTGTGGGGGGAACCTAGTAACTTGGCGAAGCAAGAAACAAACTGTAGTGGCGAGGAGTAGTGCAGAAGCAGAATTTAGAGCTATGGCCCTAGGTATTTGTGAAGGAATGTGGCTTAAGAGCATGCTAGATGAAATCAAAATTCCAGTGAACCATACTG